GGTGGGATGGCCCACTTCAGGACATGCCAATAAAGGTGAATCCCCGCTCCTAGCATCCCTCCCACAGCTGGAAAATATTCTAGAAACCACCTGTCAGAATGAGGAAACTGAGCATGCAAAGACAATAGTGATGCCGGCAACAGACTCTAAAAACGAGAGAAGACAAGAGCCAGCTGCCGGACACCTGCCCCGTGCTCAGTCACCGGCTCCGAAACCAGAACCCAGCGCCAGAAAGGCAAGACGGACATGCGCACATCCCATGCATCTCAGAGCTGTTTCTCAGCCCGTGATTTCCAGCTTGCTTCCAGTCAGCTCAAAGAGCGGCCAGGGTAGTGAAGAATGTGCTAGAACAGATGACTACAATCACCTTTAAAAAAAAAAAAAAAGGAGAGAGATAAGCCCTCTGCTGTTTGCACGCGCAATTGTTTGAGCCTTTCCCTCTTCTACTGTGGTGCTTGAGGCTGTCCCCAGAGGGGTCACGGCCCACCGTTTGAGAACCATTGCTCCAGCACACACAATGAGTCGTCTGGCCTCATTTTTCTTCCCTTGTTTGTTATTTCTCCAGGGTTCTCTTTGCTTTACTTTTATATCCTATCTCCAAACTTCACCAACACACACCTGCCCTATACTTTGTCTGTCTATCTATCCATCTGCCTTGTTTGGGAAAAACCCCCAGGATAAAGCAAAAGTTAATCAAAAAGGAAGATCGACTCCCAAAGAAAGCTTCCCTTCACAGTGCTGAACTGTTACCTCTGCTTTTCCTTTATGGATGCTATTTGGACAAAGTCTGCAATGAAACTTCCCCTACACAATAACTCTCTAAGTGAAGCTATTTTGTGGCTGATTTTTTTCCTTTACAATTTCCTGCTCTAGTGCAGTATTTCTGGACACTTAACCTCTCACTCCCTTTCAGTAGGAATCTCTTCCTTTATGGAGAGTAACAAAGCCAGGAAGAGAAGCAGGTGTTCAAAGCCTCAGGGGCCACAATTAAAAAAAAAGTAAATCTTCATCCTTCATCTATAGAGCATACCCTTGAAAAAAACACGCCTTCCTGGGTGTTATATTCAATTTGCTTAACTGTGCGTGCTCACGATAAGCCTGCCGGAAAATTTCTGCGATGCTGTTTCTCTTGTTCTTGTTAATGAGAGGGAAACCCTACACAACACACTCCCTTGGCTCAGCTCATGACCTGACCGAAGGTAAGGGGTCTAACTAGAGTAAGGACAAAGGGACCTTCAGGGGCTTTGACATCAGTCCTTTATAATTGCAATCATGGTGTAGCACTCAAAAAGTCCAATTCTGAGACAAGTTTATTTTTTGTAATGTGAGTTCTTTATAAAATAACCATGTCATACAAATTGAATTATAGTGCCATTGGTCCACTACTTTTATTTTCTAATTGGGTGAAAGGGAATCCAAGATGATCTATGGAAATAATTAAACTTTTTAATGTGATAAATTAGTGAAATTAACCTGTTAATTATTGTGAGACATTGAAATATTAGTGCTTTCCATGCAGAGTGAGGAAATGTTAGAGACATTACCTGATACCTTTAAAATATTTTCTTCTATATGTTACCTTACTTCTCTTAAATAAAATATAAGTAAATATAAATATAAAATATAAGTAGACTCCTGGGTGCTTACTTGTCCTTAAATATATAGGTTCATATATTGAGTGATACAGTCATAGTAATATTGTCTATGCATTTCTATAATACCAAAGACTAAAATCAACCCAAATGCCACTTATGGGAAATGTATAAAATAAGTTTTTCTATCTCCATATTATAGAATGACACCAAATTATTAAATCAGAAGGAAAAATACTACTAACAAAATGATGCATTAATTAAAGTCATAAGGATACCTAGCATCTGCTGAGCAACAATGACTGAATGACGTTTATGAAATGGATAAATATATGTACCCCCTCTCAGATTTCCGTGATGTATGTACTATCACCAGCCCCAGTTTATAATTAGGAAAACCAAGATGTGAAGAGGGTTTTTATTGTTGCTGTTGTCGTTCTGTTTTGTTTCAGAGATAAGAGAACGCAGAGAGGCAATAATAATATAAAAACAGAATCAATCTTATTCTGTGGTACTATTGTATAAACGGTTACAGAGTTATATAGAATATGTGTCTATCTGTAAGAGAATATATATAAAAAGAAGGGATGGGGAAGCTACATACCATTAGTTTATTTGAATTATAGTTCTTTAAAACATGTACTTTCCTAAGATTTTCATTGTTAGTTCATAGACTGTTAGCATAATTCAATAGCCTTTTCAATACCAGCAGCGGCTTTTGTAAGGTCCAACACTTGGAAACACATAATACAATAGCCATCACTGTGGCATCCCTTAGGCACATGAAGCTCTTCAGCACTTAACATGTGGCCCTTTCAAACTGATTTATACTCAAACAATGAAACCCTTGTCAGGTTTTGAAAAGAAAAGATGTCAAATTTCTTATTAAACATTTTTATTAAATTCTTGCAAGGATGTTTGTATTGCATGAAGTTTTTGTTAACTTCATGCATTTCCTTGAGTTTTGGAAAGGTGTCTACTAAAGGCCTTAGAGTCCCCTGAGAAAGATCAAGTACCACCTAGACCTGTTGTTGGAGGGCTTCTCTCCAGGTTCCCCAAGCCCCGCAGTCCCACAATCCACTTATAAAATAATCACTCAGACGCTTATATCACTTATAAACTGTATGGCCGTGGCAGGCTTCTTGTTAACTGTTCTTTTATCTTAAATTAACCCATTTTTATAAATCTATACCTTGCCACGTGGCTGGTGGCTTACCAGAGTCTCTACATGCTGCTCGTCCTGGCGGTGGCTGCAGTGTCTCTCTCCTCAGCCTTCCGCTTCCCAGAATTCTCCTCTCTCCTTGTCCCACCTACTTCCTGCCTGGCCACTTGCCAACCAGTGTTTTATTTATATACAGAGCAATATCCACAGCATAGACCCCCTGTCAGAGGTTCTGAATGGCCTATGCTGACCAGCTAGTGCTAGTCAGCTACTCCAGGGTCTGCTGTGTTTTGGATTATGCGTCCTAATATAAGGCCGTGCAGAGAACAGCTTCTCTATGTGAAATAGTGTCCAAATAGCTTTGTTATCCAAAGGCATTTCTTCTAATATTTGAGAAACTATACTTCATGTTGCTTTACCAAGTAGAGGTTTTTTCCTTTTTAAAAACAGTATCAAGTAAATTGGAAGGTAGGACAAATTTCCAGTCGCAGGAATATGCTAAAAGTTTTATAATCTTTATTGTAAAGCTCCTTTATTCTAAATAAATCAGTCTTATTTATAGTGCTCTCTGTCCTCCATACCTGGTCAAGCAGTGGCATGTAAAATGCTTCAGATGGAGCAAATGGAAGTTGCAAACCTATTTACATTCAGAGTATGATTATTTAAGCCCTCCTTCAAAGAGGACTGGCTCAGAGGATGTGTCTTTGTAAATCACAGAAATAAATTTTTATGGCCCTACCATTTTACTGCCATATGAGCAGAATACGGTGCCCATGCTACTAACATATCTGCGTCCTTACTCCAAGTTTGTAAAAATGCTACTCAAAGTTGACTCTTTTCATACATCATATTTTATGGAACCAGCATTCATTTACCCAGTCTTTCTAGCATTTTGCTTAATTCCTTCTCCTTCCCCCAATGGTGTTTTTCTCTGGATTCTGGTTTCTGTTACTGATTGGATGGTAGTGATAAGAGAAGATTGCTAAAGAAACTAAATTAAAATGAAATTGTGAGACATAGTTATCTGTCAGTTTTCTGGAAGAAAATACTCAGGGAATCTGGCTTACTTTCTGGACATTGCTATTAGCTACATAATTATTTTCTAGTGTAAGGTAGTATAAACTAAGCCACAAGGCTCTCAATGTTTTGTTAACATTTAAACTAAAATGTTACCTTCAGCGTTATTTAATTTTTTTCCAAATTACTAAAATTTTCTTATCAGTTGCCTGTGTTGGCAAGATAAAATAGTTTCTTCCAGACAGACACATCTGTCTTGTTTTCTGTTTCTCCCCATGTCTAGTAAAATACTTCACATGCATTGTTTTTAAATGAGAGAAAATAAGAATTTGTAATGGCATTTTAAAATATAATATTGTCTCGTTTATAATAAAATTCCTTAATAATAAAGTGAAGTTACACTTTATTCACTCAGAATTTTTCACATTTTCTGTATAATTATAAATTTGGATTACTAAATGGTTTTAAAACTAAATTTCTAAAATACTCCTGTGTGCGAGAGTGCATGTGAGGTGTATGGGTGCGTACGGGTGTGGTGTATGTGCATGTGTGTGGGGAGGAGCAGGTAGCTGATGCAACAGAAGCCTGAGGAGAGCTCTCAGAGTCCCTCTTTATCAACCTCTGCCTTGTTCCCCTGAGGAAGGGTCTCTGGCTGAACGTGATCATGGTTTTCACCTCAGATGAAGGGCTGCAAGCTCCAGCAATGCTCTTGTCTCCACCCTCAGTGCAGAGGTGACATGCATATGAAGGGCCATGCTTTAAGTGGGGGCTAGGGTTGGAACCCCTGCTTCTCAGGCATACACAGCAAATGCTCTTAGATGCCTAGACATATCTCTCCCCTTAAAATACTTTTAAAAGTAATTTTAAAACAAAAAAAATTGTTACCAAATTTTGGAGAAAATAATTGAGCTACATTTTCAGCTTTTCCTATCAAGTATTCTTCCAAGGGGCAAAATGACAGCTGTAGATACTTTACACAGGAGCTACTGTGGCCTTCATGAAATGGTGGTGCAGCACTCATTCATGTCACGGAGATTAGGTGGTCAGACAGAGTGGGCCCAGTTAATTGGGCTGTGGTGGCTTCATCTTGGAAAACCTGTGATGGTTAGGCCAGCCTAGGTCTCAGCTTATGATCTAATGGAAGCAATTATCAGGTCACTTGGAATGAAAAAATCTAGTGTGGATGTAAATTGGGGACACTTGTGAAAAAATGTCATTCTCTTGTCTAGACATCTCAACTGAAAAGAACTGGAATTTGTGAAACTAGATGTGCTAACTCACTGATCTGGAGGCTGCTATGGTATCAGGTAGGTTTATACTTTTTTAATCAAACTACTTGTGGAAGGGGCTGTGTCCACTGTAGGATACACTTAGCAAAACAGCTGGAATGATGCTGGGAGTTATTCAAGCCTCATGTTATCTATCATTAGTATGCTCTTCTATGTGTGCTTAAAAGCAAAGAGTGTTCCAGCAGAGGAGGATTCATACATTTACTACTTTAAAATAAATAATTACAAATTAGTCTCTATCTACTATGGAATAATTAACTTTTTAGAAACATCAGTATTGCAGGAATACGCTTTTTACTTGATCAACCCTGGAGAAATGACTCCTCTGCATCTGACTTCGAAGCTTTTTCTTTTAAGTGACAACAAAATGCAATAGTTATAAATATACTTCTTGGAACTAAGTGGGAAAAGTGATGATGTGCACTCGCTGTTCTAGAACCATTACAGGAATTAATTTAGTCTCAACTGAAAAGCAGCGAGGATAGCCAGTGCTTGACAGATTGGATTTCTCAATATAGTAAATTGCAAACTGTGGAAAATTATGTAACAATTTATTCAAATAAAACTCTGCAAAACCTTGACAGTAAGAAGTTCAGCTTCAGCCATTAACTCCTCTGGCTGAAAGACCCTTTAGCACAGCCAGGCTAGCTTGTCATACATTCTCCTGCTGGCTAGCTGCTTAATTACCCAGCCAGTGGAGTAGATGGGCTAATATTCAAACTTGAGTCACTATATTTATCCTCCTTAACTTAATGCTCATCATTGCAATGGTCAAGATTTATTACAGGATTCTTGTGGTGATATTGTGTTCCCTAATATATTGTGCATTTCAATAAACTTATCTGGGGTCAGAGAACAGAATAGCCGCTAGATAGAGGCCAGAAAATGGTGGCACAGACACCTTTAATCCTAGCATTCCAAAGGCAAAGATCCATCTGGATCTCTGTGAGTTCAAAGCCACACTGGAAACAGCCAGGCATGGTAACACATGCCTTTAATCCCAGGAAGTGATGGCAAGAAGCAGAAAGGTGTATAATGCGTGAGGACCAGGAACTAGAACCTCATTAAGCTTTTAGGCTTTTGAGTGGCAGTTCAGCTGAGATCCATTTGGATGAGGACTCAGAGGCTTCCAGTCTGAGGAAACAGGGTCAGCTGAGGAATTGGCGAGGTGAGGTAGCTGTGGCTTTTTCTGCTTCTCTGATCTTCCAGCGTTCACCACAATACCTTGCCTCAGGTTTTTTTTTTTTTTAATAAGACCTTTTAATATTCATGCTACAGATTCTTATCTTCCAGACACGACACACAGATGGTTTCATTTGGGAAGAGAACTGTAAGGGTCAGTTTGTGCTTAGCCATCATGGATGCAGCTCTCCATCATGGGTCAAGATGGCCAACACTGGGGTGGGAGGAAGGAAGAGTATCATCACAAAGTGGCTGACATGGGTATGCAGGAAACCCCAAAGTAAACAGTGGTGTAATATGTTATAAAACTGTTTAGGAGACTGCCACTTTGGTTTTGTATAAATTTGATCTTGAAGTCAAAGGTTTGGGTGTTTGCCTTCAAAAGCCTGCCTGTGTGTCTCTGTAGGTGCATGTGCTTATTTTTGTATATGTGTGCCATTCTTCCTGTGTGCCTGTGCCTGCCTGTGTAAGTCTTGTATGTGCTGGCACATGATGGGTGCCTGCTGGCATCTGCTCCATAGTGGTCTGTGTGCCATCCTTTGCTCAGAGTAAACCAAGTGAGTCTTACCAGTATATGACTCCTCAAATTCTCTTCAACTCCTTGTCTCCCATGACCTTCCTTCTTTCCTGGTATTAGAATCTTGACCACGGAGAACATTATATTGAAAGTCCTATTATTTTTACTTTTTATAGGTAAAAGATCTAAGGGTTAGTTAGAAAGGGCATAGAACCTGTTAAAGTTGAAATTCAATCACAAATAATCTGCTGTTATTATCTAGTTTATCTAGTTTTAAGCCTAGCATGTTTCTTTAATATATATATATATACATATATATATATATATATATCATAGCATATGCATATCCTAGGCTTTATGATAATCTATACAGTAGATAAAGTTATGTATTGATTTAAATGTGTACTAAAGAGATAAACTTTTGGTCAAACCTGTGACTTTAACATATTTTTACATGGGATGTGCCTAAATAAGTAAATGGGTAACATGCACAAAGCAGACCATGTGCATATCATGATGGGATACAAAAACACTTATTAACATTTCCCTAGTTAACTGTTAGGATATAAGCATGATAGGGATTAGTTGATCACTACTATAGATTCTTATGTATGGAACGTCTACATCATTATTTCTTTTCAGTGATGCTCTAATATTACTTCAATATCCAAGATATCAATTATCAACTGCAGTTCCTAAGGTGAACTGTGATTTCTTTTTTTTTGACCCATTATTGATCAGTGCATTATAAATATGTCCTTAAAACAGTGCCAATGGTACTGATAGAAATGCTGGTTCTAGGGTGGTCAAAATGAAATCACTCATACTTTTCCAGGAGGAGGAAGACCAAATTGATGAATCACCTGGAACCATCTGCTGCCGTTAAAAATCACCACCTGCAATGAAAACCAAAGCAGCATGCATATAGAGTGATTATTACCTGAAACTTGAATTTTTACAGACTGTCAATGAAATTATACTTCTTCATTAGATTAGTATATTTGGGGACTTACAAAGATGTAGTTACAAAAAAAAAAAGCATCCTACGCAAACATAACTTTTGAAATATCAGAAGACTGCACTGTAATACCCTAGACATATTAAATTGTTTTGCCTTTTAATTTTTTTTATTAAAATGCAGTTTCATCATTTTCCCTTCTCTTTCCTCCCTTCAACCCCTCCCATGTATCCCTTTCTCTCGCTCTCAAATTTATGGCCTCTGGCTCTTTTTCTTTAATTGTTGTCACACACACACACACACACACACACACACACACACACACACACACACCTGCTCAGCCCATATAATATTACCTGTATGTATACAACTAAGAGACTAATCACTTGGCAATAACCAATTGAGGGGTGGTGGTGGTTCTTCCCTGGCGAAGACTGTTTTCTCTAGTCTCAGTATTGCTTAGTTGCCTATAGTTCTTTCTCTAGTATTGGGGTCCACTGAGCTTTCTCCTGTCCACATTAGCAGGTCTGTTGACATCACCCTTGTTAAGGTCTTACTGACTTTTAAAACGTGAAGCAGGATGGTGTTCCAGGCCCCAGAAACATCAACATGGGGTGACAGAGGATGAAATTGCCAAGTTGCAGGAGCCCCGGTTTCCATTGGCAAGGTTGTCACAGCTCAAGCAATTGGTGGGACAATTCCTAAATAAGTTGCCAAATGGAGTGAGTGTTTATCTGTGAGACAAAGCAAGGGGAGTGAAGCTGACGGGGCAACCCTGTCAGTAACAGTGGCAGCAGTTGCTGTCAAGCATACACCATTCTTTACTTTCGCCTACAGTCCACACCACGGCCTGGAGAGGAAGACGGATTCTCTGATTGTCAGCACTGTAGCTGATCATGTGTGTTTGTTAGATATGGGCTGGATAAAGAAGCTCAATGGGACATACTGCTGGACCAATCTTCGTTAACTCTTACAACTGCAGAAGAGACTTTAAAACTGTCGCTAGCTTCAAGATACACAGTCACGTGGAAGGGATGCGCTGTATTATGCACAGATGGTGCTCACGCAATGGTATCCAATAAGAATGACTGTTCCATGGATTCAAGCTGTTGTACTGGAAACAAGATCTATCCACTGTTTCACACATGGGGGATGTTCTCACCATCTGAGATTTTTTTTTTAAAGATTTAATAAAAGAACCTAATGAAAATATAGATCATCAACCACCTTATGGATAGCAAATTAAATCCACGACTTCTTCTCAGCTTTGCAAAAACACCAGCACTGATTTCAAACATTGCTGTTCCTGTAGGAATGCAATGAAAAGCTTCGTGTCTTCGGTGATAAATCTTACATCATGTATAAGAACAAACACATACTTTGGATTGGTTTTGTAAATCGTCACGTTGAAGAAGTATTTTCTCTTTTAAATAAGCTAGTGTTGCCATCTCAAGGCAAGCAAATCGCCATTATTCCACATGATAGGAAAAGTGACCATGATGAATGCAGATGTGACTCTGTGGGACATATGGACCTGATACAGTGAGCTGGATTAATATATTGAAAGGCCTTATAAAAACTCATTTAAAATGAAATAAATAAAATATCCTGAGAAATTGCAAATACTTAGTGATAGATCTCCCCATAAATATTTGGCAAAGGAAATAAATTCAAGTAATAAGTGAGTGCTACAATTTTATAGTTTGGCCCACATTATCAAATATCCCAACACACTCATTTAAATACATTTTAAGTGGGATCTTCTGAACATTTATTTAGCTAAAGTTACTGAAGAAATGTGATGACAGCATGAGCTGTGATGTCACCCATGTTGTGTCTGTGGCAATAGCTGATGTCCCATTTCTGTTAAACTTTATAGGTATTTGTTCATAAATGAATCCTCTCTTCATGAACTTACGATACTCTCATTAAACCAACACTTTAATAATAGCATTTGTAGAGGACCTTATGAAATGTTGTGTACTTCTCCCTCAACGAGAGCACTGCCAATACTCTTAAAGCCCCATCCTTTCCTTCTCATGGTCCTTCATATTATACATTAGGCTGTTCTGTGTGTTAAGATTACCATGATGGTTACTTCATCATGGGTTGTAGTAATCTTTAAAATGAGTTAAAGTACTTGTTCCATTAAGAACTCTTAACTTGGAGCTCCCAGTTGATGAGTTTTAGTATTTTTTTAATGCTTCATTTTTGTTTGAACATTTATATGCATATTCTTTAGACATTCTGACTCACCTTTGTTTCATTCCATGTGTCTTTTCAAAGAGTCTCTTCTGGACCAAGTTTCAGAAATCCTTTTAAATAATCAATAAATCCTATATGTTTACATTTTTAATAGAT